TTACCCATTAGAAAAATTACTCAAGTAAAAGTAATAAGTAGCTAATTTAAAATGTATTTTAAGTAAAAGTTACTTAGTTACATTGAAAACAAACAGTTGAACGGGGCAGGGGATCCCTCCCACTTAAATTAAATACTTAGTTTTTTTTTTAGCAGTTTATTTTCCCAAGCCACTCAGAGCCGCAGTATAAGGATGAAAGAGCCGCATGCGGCTCCGGAGCCGCGGGTTTCCCCGGCTAGACAAAATCAGCAATGCCACGAAACAGGTTGTTTTGCTAATTGGCTATTAGTCATGAAAACTTTGTTTGAAGTACCGATGCTCTAAATACTTCCCAAAACATGCTTCCGCAGATTAGATGTGGAGTTATTAAATGCTGCCAGTTCAGTCACCTTTGGCAGACACATCTGGCATTGCATGATGATGCTGTCGGCCATCTTGAATTTAAACGAAAAGCAGTCTTTGAAATGTGGCCGAGGATTTTCGTTGTTTTTGGGCAGCAGAATTGGATGTTTCAGCTAGCATTTCTAGTGAAACGTTCTCTGAACCGTCGTCGCTCTCCTGATCCACCTCCATCTCGTTCCCAAACTCCTACAGAAAGACTTGGCGCCTGGTAGCCTCGATCTACATGCTGATCACGTCACTCGCTGCAGAGCTTCCGGGGCCCATTTTTTGTCTTTTCGGTTTTCTAAAGTTTTTTTTTTACTCAGTAACGGATGGGATTTGTTATGTAACGAAATACAATACTTCACTCAAAACGTAATCAAGTAAAATTTAAATTACCGATTTTAAAAACTACTTGAAAAATACAAAATACACAAAAAACCTGCTCAATACAGTAACTTGAGTAAATGTATTTCGTTACTTTCCACCTCTGCCTATATGTTGGTACTCGCCGATACCGATGCCACCATTTTAGCGCTGGATCGGGGCCCCGCCTGATACTGGTATCAATGCAACACTAGTGATGATTGAAATTCCCACTTTACATTTAACCCCTCCCCTTGGGGAGCAGTGGGCTGCCATTGTGCAGCTCCCAGGGAGCAGGGTGGGGTTAAGGGTCTTGCTCAGGGACCCAGAGTGGAGGCAGTGGGGATTGAACTGAGTTCTTGCAACCTTAACCAGGCTAAAACCACCCAGCAATGTGCGGAAGGCGGCGTGTAACTTTCGCCGCCTCTTATTCAAAGACCTATAAGTCTAAATAAATCCCTCACTGCAAAAGTCATGACATTTCCTAAGATTAGTGAATTTGCCTTTGATTTGAGCGGATAAATAGGATGATCCATTTGTAACCTAAATATATGAAAATTAGATGTTATACGCTCAAATAAGGTAGTGGAGTTGTTTTTTTTTCTTATGTTGAATGTAGATAAACTTATTTTGTTGGTAAATTATCTTATTTCAAGAAAAAAAAATGGTTTTCCTCTCTAAGCATCCAGGTTTGTGTCTGTTTGCACTTCCAGGCACGAGGATTTTTTCCCAGGCGTGTTCCTGTCAGACAGGAGAGTGTGTCAGGTGTGCGGCGACGACGCCTCGGGTTGTCACTACGGAGCGGTCACCTGTGGCAGCTGTAAAGTGTTCTTCAAGAGGGCCGCTGCAGGTGGGAGCGACGCACACACGCACCGCAGCATCCCTGAGTGCACACCAAAATTACAGTTTGCATCCCCTGATTTAATTTCTTACACCCACTTACTCTCTAATGCCGGCGGGGCACAGTGACCTGACATTATGAGGCAGAGCGGGTTGTTATCAGTAAACACCCACATGGCGTTGCTATGAGTCGAGGTGATGCAGATTTTGTTGTGTGTCTCCAGGAAAGCAGAACCACCTGTGTGCCAGCAGGAACGACTGCACCATCGATAAACTGAGGAGGAAAAACTGCGCCTCGTGTCGACTTAAACGCTGCTTCATGTCCGGAATGAGCTTGAAAGGTACGGAAATTCAAGGCTGTGGGGGGAAATGTGCATCCGCCTCGCCAAAGTATCCCTACCCTGAAACACAAAACTGTCAATGAAGGTTTAATAGAGTTTGTTTTGTGACAGACTCACACTGGTTAGAAAATAATTGGTAAGTAGAAAATGAGATCTGAAAAATGTAGGGTGTGTTTGAAATCTGCACCCTGAGGTGATGCTTCCAGGAACAATGTTGATTGAATGAGTTTTAGGAGGATCGTCTGCCTGCTTTACATGTTTGGAAGATTTCTCCCAGACTTAAAGGTATTATGGAGGATTTTTTAAAAGACCCGCCCTCTCCACTTTAAAAAAATAAAAAATAAAAAATGCGCGTGCAAGAGTGTTCACAGGCCCATTTCTCCTCATGTCATCTCAGGTCACTTTCCAGTTCACCAGATCATCCAGTCAGATTGATTCAAAGTTTTCTATCTAAGGAAAACCAGCTGATTGCATCGACTCATTGACTCTTCAGCAATCCCTCACACTAAGCATGCTTGTAGCGACAGTGGAGAGGAAAAACTCCCTTTGAACAGGAAGAAACCTCCAGCAGAACCAGGCTCAGTGTGAGCGGCCACTTACTGTTATTTTGCTTCCTGTCTCTGAACGTGCGCCCTAACCCCTAAATCCCTCCATCACTATATAGAGCAGGGACTACATAGTGAACTCATTTCACTATAACATTAGTGATCACTGCTTGTTGCTCTGTTCGTCACGTAATTCCTCCTCCACCGCGCGGTGCCTGAGCCGCTGTCGGGTAGGGGCAGCCTATGGCGACAGCGGGCTGCTGTGACAGAAAATCCCATAATGCGGGGAGAGCTCTCCGTGCAAAGCATTCTGGGATATATCTGCCTATTCTGAGGCCTTTTTTTTCTTCTCATACACTTCGTTGACACTTCCGATTCTCGGCCATTTCCAAAGAACCGCGGTGAGAAAGGTGAGCTTCAATGAATGTCTGAAACTGTAGCTCACCACAGATAAACGCCTGAAAGTATGCGAAAAAAGGTCGTTAACGCAGGGCAAACGCGGTGCGATATTTTCAGTGGTTGGACACAGCTACAGCTCACCATGTTTGTTCTCACGCTGTGCGACCCGACACTCTGATACAATCTACCTGCTCACTGTACGTCTAAAAACCAGGTGGGACTCAGCTCCGCAGTGAGATGGCGCTACTGGGACTCGTCTATCTGGAAGCCAAACCAGTAGCAGAGGAACATGAAGCTCACTAGAGTGAAACGCGCTGCCTTGGATATTTGGGCAATTTTGTGCTAAAGCCCTAAAAAGAAAAGGAGACGACGTATTTGGACAAAAGACATGGCTGAGCTAACGTGGCTACTACGGTCTGACAGTTTGACAGAAAGAACTCCATTTCACTTATTGCCCCCCCGCCATGCTGCTGGGTTTACATCTGAGAGGAAGAAGAAGAATCCTAGTTTGCCACTGAGCGATTTACCCACGAACACCTTACCATGCCCGACTGAATTTCAACCATGTTTGATTTTCTCCCGACCTTAAGATTCCTGATGGGGGGGGGTCGTTAGCGGCTGATCGGCTGACCCCCTGTTCACTACACCACCCACCATCAGGCTGAAAGTCGGCCCGATAGAAAAATTCTGGCACAACGGGAAAATCAGCCTGAAAAGGGCAAAAAAATGTACAGTGTCGCCCGGCGACCCGGTTCCGGATAAAGCGGGAGACGACGAGTACGAGTACGAGTGTCGCCCGGCTTAACGCGACACGCACGTAGGACGGCCTTACGTAAACACAGCACCAGAATGATTGACAGTTAGGAGGACCACTGATTGAGATGATCCACCCGGAAATAAAAGATCCTCCTCCATACCTTTAAGCTCAGTCAGATCAGATGGAGGCTGACTTTGATCTAAATCATCCTAATGAATGTCAGTGACTGTTGTCCTGATGGAGGGTTAAGCTCCACCTTAGTCTAAAGTCTAATAAAGCTTAAACAAGGTTTTATTCCTGAACTTCCTCAATCTGAGCAGCTTTTCTGCTCTTATTGTTGAAAACCACCATGTTTCACAGTGATTGTTGTTTTCAGGTTGTAGTTCAGCACCTTATGGTGGCATAAAGCAAACAGACACCCTAATACATGGGCGGTTCTAGACGGGGGCCAACGGGGGCCAGTGCCCCTGTAGATCATATCCTGGCCCCTGTTATGGTCCCTGTACTGAAGACATAATACGTAAATTCTAATGATCTGCTCTGGAACAGACACGGTTACTGATTGGTCCTTTGGTTCTATTTGATTTTTTTCTTTACAAATTCTGTTTTACTAATCATTTAAAAACAATGAGTTGATAGCTGCAGTGGGATTGAGATATGATCCCAGGTTTCATCTGCTAAATGTTTTTTTTTTTAAACAAATAATAAAAAAAAAATGCTCTAATTTTTACGGCTGAATTTCTCGGTTTTTCTTGAGTTCTAATTCAAATTTTATAGAAAACGGTAATTTTAACTTAAATTAAGTGAAAAATATATAACATTCCTAAATTATGAATGTATATTGATTTAATAAGAAATAGAATTTTAATTGAACCTAAAAAATTGAAATTTAACTTCATGCAGCTATATTAATATATCTAAAACTCTTGCCCTGTTTTTTTTATTTCATTCTTTTCTGTTCCCCCATGAAGACAAGCTGGCCCCCTCCTGGTCCCCTCCTGGCCCCCGGTACATGTGGTCTAGAACCAGCACTGCCCTAATCCCTTCCATCCTTCTGTTTCTATAGATTACTGATAGTAATCCAAACACCTTCTGCTAACCGAGCCGCAGCTCCTCCATCGTTCAGTAGAGGCATTAAGAACCAAAGTATCAGAAAGTATCAGAGAAATTCCCTCTCTGCATTTAACCCCTCCCCTGGGGAGGCAGTGGGCTGCCATTGTGCGGCTCCTGGGGAGCAGTGTGGGGTTTAGGGTCCTGCTCAGGGACCCAGAGTGGCAGGCTGTTGGGATCGAACCGCTAGGCCAACACTCCAGTACAAATACACTGGAAAAAATCCAAATCTAGATAAGTTATTTTTCTTAAAATAAGTGCATTTGTTCTTGATTTTAGGAGGTTATAGAGACATCTTGAAAATGGAAAAAGACAATTTACACTTAAAATAAGAAAAAACAATTACATTGTCTTATTTCAAGTGCATATTATCTAATTATCTTATTTTAAGAGTAAAAATACTCATTCCATTGGCAAACTGTCTCCTTTACCCACTCAAATTAACGGTAAATACACTTAATTTAAGAAATTTTTACTTATTTCTAGATTGTTTTTTTCCAGTGTACTTCATTATTGTACTTTAGTAGAAATGTCTATCTATTCTTTACTGGTGTAATTATTTTTTTTGACAACTTTTTACTTTCTTGTCCTTGGATTTTAAAAATAAACTGGTTAGTTTTATTTCATCTGAGCTCATTTTAATTATGGCCTGTTGGTATTTAAAAAATAATTAGTTTCATCCAGACAATTAATTTCTTTGTGGTTGGACTCGGTGCTGCCCCAACTTGTTGCTCAACACAAACCAAAATAAAAACTTTTTCCAGATGATGCAAAGTTAAATGTGACTCTGTTACCATTACTTAAAAAACTAAGAAAATGAAATCTAATGAAATTATCATCCAGAATAGTAGAAAAACGTTCCTTTAATAGAGTAGAGCAGTAAAACTTCTGGCCTTAACAGTTTTTCCTGCATTATTTTTACTTTTATACTTTAAATAATATTAAAAATTGTACCTTTACACTTTTACTGGAGTAAAAAGCAGAAATTGATCCTCTAACTTCTTCTAAAGTGTTTTTAAACAGCAGGATTTATACTGGAGGAATAAACAGGAATAGTTTTCTGGCCTTCAGTTATTTTGCTAAATAATTTTTTACTTGTTTAGTTTTTGCATAACGGCAAAGAGGGACACTATTTACAGATTAGGTGAAGGCGGATGATTTCAGCTGATTTTATAAAGGCCTTTCAGAGGGAAGGGGACTAAACCAAATGTGTGCCATGCAGCTTACAATTATTTATTGGTAAAAAAGGTAAAAAAATGTGTATGATTTTTTAGTTCCAACTCACTATTATTCACTACTTTGTGTTAGTCCACTCCTTAAATCTCAATAAAACACTTGAGATGTGATATAACATGAGGTCAGAGCATACGGGGACTTTGTGCGCGGCGGTATTTGGGGATAAAGGGGGGGTCAGTGCGTCACATGGCTCACATTCTGCAGATCAGAACTGTTCCTGCTAAAATTTGGTGCAACAAATTCAATTCATCGGACGTCAATAAGAGCTTTTTGTACGTGCAGGCCGGCAAAAAAAAACAACTTTATGACACGTCAGTGATAGGAAAAAACACAAATAGCTGGTAGATAATTTCAGGCGGATTTATTGAAGCCATGTGCTGCTGTTTTATTTAATTTTTACATTATTTGGCAAAACGATGAGATGTTTTTTTACGTCAGCTTCATGTTTAAGCCGTCTGTCTTCCTCCTGCTGCATGTGCTGCTGCTGTGTGATCACAGGCCGTCGGCTGAAGGGAGCCGGACAGACGAGAGGTGGAGAAGAAGAGCATCAGCCTCCTGCCTGGGGGCATGGAGAAAGGGAAGGGAAGCACAACTTTGTCTTGGAGCCTGGGAGTGCTGCTGCCAGGGCTCAAGGTGGGGAGGATTAGTGGCTCACAGGATCAAATATGAAAGAGATTTCCAAGGAGTTTGACCATAATATTCTATATATTTGTCGTACTAAAACTCCTGTTTTCTGTGTTAACTTCTGCAGGGCCTCAGCTTTTAGGAATCCCTCCAACTATGCGCTCCTGCTTCTCTCTCCTCACCATCCTACAGTCCATCGAACCCACCGTAGTCAACGCGGGACACGACCCCGCCCAGCCAGACAGCTCCGCCTCCTTGCTCACCAGCCTCAACGAGCTTGGGGAAAGGCAGTTAGTGACTGTTGTACGCTGGGCCAAGGCAATACCAGGTAAACCGGTATGAACCCATGTGGCAATTAGCTGGCGTGTTCCAATAACCGCTGAGAGCTGTAAACACCTGTGCTGGCTGGTTCAAGCTGTGAAAAACCGAAGCGCTACTTGGTCAGACCTGTGCAGCGCCTCAGACAGTGCAGCATATCTGCATGACTCAACAGACTGCAATGATTTGGAGATGTTTCAAGTCTGGTCTACCGTACCTGGTGCATTGCCTTGACAGGAGCAAATGCATCAGTAACACAAATTGTTCTAGACAACTAACCACCCAGTGGAAATCAGGATCCGTTAGTGCATATTTAAAAATGTCCTATTACTAAAGTTCCAGCAGCTTTGCACAATTATTTAGACTGCAGAGGACAATGATTTAAACAAGAACAAGAGGCGGTGCACCACTAATTATATTCCTGAGTGAAACATCAACTGAGAATGGAACATGTAAAGGAGTAAATGTCTAATAAAATAAAGTTAGCAAAGTAAAGTCTAACCGATGAGCATCACATTAAATCACTGGTCACTAGTAGCTGGTCAGGAATGAATCAGCAGATCCTCCCTGACATTTAGCTCAGTGCAGGAGAATGACCTGACTGTAGACAGCTGGACCAAAGAGAAGGACCTCCTGCAGAAAACGCCATGCAGGTTCTGCATGCCAACTCTGCATAAGGGTTAAAACCAAAACGAGAAATAAGTCGTAACAAAACCCTGAAGAAGATTCCTCTCAACCGATGCCCTTATCTCCAACTATCTATGAAATATTCCACACCGTTCATGATCCAGGAGTGGTAGAGTGTCCCTTTGGTTCACAGATCTTGAGTGGAAATGCTTCATTATTTTCTATTCTCAGGACGGAGGGGGATTTACCATTACGCAATACTAGGCAGTTGCCTAGGGGCTCCAGAAAACTCTGTTTCCATGTATGGTTAATACAACTATTCTTCATTTCTG